AGTGGATTTAAATTGTCAATTCCATTGCATATATGTCAAATAAATTCTCATGAAGTGGCTTAACTCGTTTAAGTTACGAATTATTAAATGTCAATTTATAAAGGAATACCAGAGTCCTGTTTTAGTTTTGACGCCGTTCTTCGGTATTCATTTACATTTTTCAAAGCCAAGTTAAGGCGCGTTTAAGGGGGAAACACATAAGAGGACTTCATTTTTTATTGTAAAAAATATAAAAATTTACTCTGATATTCATGTATAAATAGGAATTTCTCTTAATTATAGTACGTTTACATTTTACATAAATCCTCATAAAGTAGGTTAATCCAGTAAAAAGTTCTTGTGCAAAACGACATATACATTAGAACTTTTTACCGGGTTAACCTACTTTATGCGGATTTATTTGACATATGTGCAAAGTAATTGACAATTGAAACCTACTGGGTTAACTAAATCCGGTTAAATGTAAACGTAAATGCCGTTTTAAACGGCTTATACATTAGAACTTATTACCCGGTTAACCTACTTTATTAGGATTTATTTGACATATATGCAAAGGGTTAAATGTAAACGTACTATTAGATCAAACATACATACAAACAAATGTTTATCTTAAATTATAGTAGTACATTTACATTGTACTGGATTTAGTAAATCCATTAGATCTAAATTGTCAATTCCATTTAATATATGTCAAATAAAGTCTCATAGAGAAAGATAACCAGATGTTATGTTTTATTCGGCAACAATCTCTAGTTGTTACCATAGTACAATTATTCAGGGTATGCCATAGCAATTTATAATTTACAATTTATTCATATTGTGGCTTGTTATGCGAATGTGTGTATTAGTAACAAGGTAGTTTCATTTAAGAAATTTATAATGTCGACCCTTCTTAATATGGAACTCATATATCAATTTCAAATAAAATGAAAAATAAATTCCATAAAATGTTACGCATGGCGATTGGCAAATTTGCGACAAATTAAAAAATATATTTTTTTCTAAAGCTCCACATTGTTCTCAAGATTTAAATAAGAATGTTGCCCTGCCTATAAAACCTATAAATACAAATTTTTAGGTTTTATAGGCAGGGAACTTAAAAATATTAATAAATATAAATTAATCAAAAATTTTTTGCCACTGGACACAAGATTTACGTACATTTCGAAGGAAGACATCTTCGTTTAAATTTTGAAAGCTGAATGCTGTCAAAAGCAAATTTATGAAAAAATTGAAAATATTTGACTGTGTGAGACTACCTTGTATTGTTATGCCATGGTGTGTATAATGTTTTGAAAAATATAAAAAGAATTCACACAAAAATCCATTTGTTTACAGATGAGTTTGACAACTTTGGTAAGATAACTGTATGATTTGTGGATGATTTAATATCTAAATCATATTTCCAACTCGATTTTAAAAAGAAAACCTGACATTCCATTCATTTTTCGCATTTTTAGTAAAATTTTAAATATATGTCAAATGAACAGAATGACTTGCTGCATTTGTTTACATTTATTCGGACAATATAGCCCACAGCGTAGAGGTGTATTTTTTCGTTCCTGAAAAATGATACTTTACCTTGTACCATGATGTATACGATGTAAAATTAACATTTGAGTCTAAACGTGCTTATAGACTTTTATCAATTAAAAAATTATTTGGTCATATTTACACCGAGCGTATTTTCCTTTTAACAACCTGTAGCCCTATTCTGTAACTTTTAACAACATTCGATATTGTTTAATTTCCTTTTGTTATTGTAAAAACAACAAAACATACAAATGAAATTGTTGTAATATAAACAATGTCGAATGTTGTTAAAAGGTTACAGAATAGGCCTACTGGTATCTAAATTACGAACTTTTTACAAATGTTCTGTATTCAGAAAAGGCATGGCACAATAAATAGGTAGTCCATTTAGCGCAGCTGATGTCTCGTCAAAGTGGGTAATTTGTACTTGAATTCTGATAAATCACCTTATTATTGCATCATGATCAAAGATATATAATTTATACTTAAGGCGTGTTTAGGCTATATATCTCTTATCGTTATAATTTACATTATATAGATTAATTTTTTAAATTTCTTTGTGGTACACAAATGTATCTTCTCTTTATATGTTTTATGTCTTATCTTTAAAATTTACACGGTATACTGTTTAAATGGCTCGTTTTTTTAATATACATTTAATTCTATTAATCAACTGATTTAATATACATTTACTTCTATTAATCAGCTGATTGATGCTTTGTTTACATTGATGTCTTTCAACAAATGAAACATCTGTCCTTTTCCTAATACGTTTACGTGTGTTTACATTTCGATATATAACAAATATGCATAGTTATATGTTTCAAAGCAATATAATCCATATATTTAAAAATGACGTTTACATTAAAGCTTGTTTACATTATAGCAGATTTAAAAAAAAATGGACACAAATAAGTCCGTATTTTATGAATGTTATTTTGTTGGAAAATTCATAAAAGTGATTTGAATGACCCCCCTATTTTTTCCAGTAGTAAAAGTCTTCATTGTATAAAATCTGGCAATAATGCTATGCTAAGCGACGCACAACGCCCCTTCATTGACCTCTCTTACATACAATGATCGCTGCATTTTTTACAGTATTTATTGTTTTATTATTTCTTTTTTATTCCTTGCAATTACCTCCATACATTTTTTTAATCACCCATATGTGCACTATTTAATGGATTAAACCGCAAAGCTGTAACAGTTGCTGATAGACAACAGACTGTGTTCAAAATACAAAAGAAAATGATTAACTTTTCTGTCGGTGTTATCAGCTTTTAATACATTATTGATTTATGGCCCAGCAAAAGCAAAAAAAAAAAACAAATCGAAAACAATCAACTAACGACGAACAACAAATACAAATCGGGGTGCATTATCAGCCAAACATTATCACCGCTTGCCAACTTGCTGGGTATGTGGTTCGTTCTTACGTTGGCAAACAATCATCATCATCATCGATTCAATTCTCTTCCTCATCTCTCCTTGCTCTCTTTTGCTCGGTGTGTATTTCTGTATGTGTGTGTCCAAGTAGGACGTTCGTCTATCTCTGTCATTGATAACGATGACGACGACGATAATAATAATAAAACTTTTATTGGCGATAAGGCAACGATAACAGCTGACCGATATAGCGTTTAGTGAGATCTTGTTGATGGTTATATTTTGTTTCACTAACTTCTAAGGGTTTTTAATAGTGCAAAACAAAAACCCAATGAATAATTTGCTCTCACACCTTCAGGTGGTGATTTGTTGCACGCATAATTTTGAAATTAACTTTTACAGATTAACAGTATAGATATATTTATAGTTTTATTTTAATTTAAACAAAGAAAAAACTTGGTTTGTTATGAAATTAATAAATAGAAACCTTTTTTGATCATGAATTTCAAATATAAATATACGAAAAGTAAACAGTTGATTCATATGACATATTTATTTCGACGCATTTTAAAACGCATGAGTCCCTAAAGGCGTGTTTAGACAATATCTTCTAAATCGACACGATATCAAAATCGAGCAATTAAATCCCCGCTGTTTAGACTAGTATTAGAATAATATGAAGTCTTGACATTTGCATTTAGATCATGATAAATGTTAAAGTGGATTTACATATAATACTTAATTATGATTAAGGGTCAAATAAGGGTTTATTTTCTTAATCTGAAAGAATAAAACCCGAAAGAATACAACCCTCACACAATGTACCAAAATTTTAAACTGATTTCACATGTTGTTTGTTTTTATATGTGATTTTTTACTTTCCAAGGTATTACTGCCTGGTACAATTACACAAGGTAGGGTAGCTTTGTCAAAAAGGAGAAAAGACACCTCTACCTTATGGGCAATAATGTCAGAATAAAAATGAATGGAATATCAGGTTTTCTGTTCAAAATCGAGTTGGGATATGATTTAGATATTGATTCATTCACAAATCATACATTTCTTCTCACAAGTGTTATAAAATTCATCCACAAACTAATCGATTTTCGGATATATTTTGTTATATTTTTCAAAACTGTGTATGTAGTCACATATTTTGTATACGACGTTTAACAAAACAGCGAGGACATGGAAAAGGCCAACTGCCTAAAGGTTTACATGAACCAAAATTGAAGTGATTATCAGAATTTTCTCGAAGCCATAACAGGTGATGAAATCTTCCATTGATATTGCTCTACTGAGCTCGTTAATAGAGCTCCTGATGGACTCATGTTTTAGGCATTCAATATTCATTAAGCGGTGTACACACTATCATTTTTGACTGTCAACTTTTTTATCGATTACTGACTGTCCAACAACCATAAATATTTTTGTGGTTGCCCGATGAATGACAAACATGTGAGGCCACACTATCAAACAAGCAAAATTTGGGCAAGAGTGCCATTCAAAAATGATAGTGTGTACACCGCATTATATGATCTGCGGTTTCCTCAATATTACAAATATCGCACATAGCTGAAGATTCCACTCCAAAACCGAGCTAGTGAGCTGTTGCAGAAACAATGGCCAGTTAATATCCTATTGATTTCCTTGCATTTAATGTGGTTGATAGAAAATTTACCAAACAATACCTTGAATAATTGTACCTACCTCTTGTTAATGTGTCATGGCTTTATATTTGTTGTGTGGCCCGACAGCTTTATATATCAATAGGCTAAACACGATTTTGTAGCATTACTGCTCTACAGCTGTTTACTAATGTAAACACTAAACCATTGTATTTAATTCATTATTTTTTATATAAATATTACATTAAAATAGGAATTAAAAAAAATATATGAAAAATTCAAAGAATGACCATTGGTTCCAATAAGTTCCTTTCGGTGAATACCAACATTTGAACACTGCCATTGAACTAGTTCACAACGGAACTACACAACACAACTCTAATCAATCAGTTATAGTGCCGGTTAATATTTCCATGGAGCAATAATAATCCAATCCAAAAAATGCCTCCAACAACGTCCACAAAACCACCCATACGTTCAAATAAACGCCAGAATTTCTTTCAACGTTTCTATAAGAAATATATTAACTTTGAATATGCGAAATTTCTAATATTCGATCCTGCCGCATTACCCATTGTCACGGTATTTATATTGTTGGCTGAATTGGTGCTAAATGTGCTGGTGGTAAATCGTGTACCATATACGGAAATCGATTGGAAGGCATATATGCAAGAATGTGAAGGATTCCTAAATGGTACAACGGATTATGCCCAACTGAGAGGTGAGTTAAATCAGTATTTTTCCCTCCTATTTTTATGGATAGGCCACGACATCAGAAGGTCTTCGAAAAATGTGTGTCTAGCTTGTTCTATTTTTGTTTACGTTTTGACAGGAACTATATATACATATATAGATAAGTTGTGCGCTATTTTATGCTTTATGTTGCGGCAACATTTGTTGCTGTTTTTGGTTCTTTGGATTATTATTTAATAGCATGGAGTGTAGTAGATTGAGTTGAGAGGAAGGGAATATTTTTAGAAAACTATTTTTATATCCTGCAGTATGGAATACAAGTTTTTAAATGTATACATACCTAGAAGTAATAATATATCAAAATATGAATTAGGGTACAATCCACTTCAATTCCCTTTTGGTTATATAACCATAATTTCTTTAAATTTTGAAATATTTAGCTAGATGTCAATATTTGAACAACTTTTGAATTTATACATATTGATTATTTAGTTTATATATTTTGGATCACCATTTAAAAATGGTGTATTTTTGTGGAGATATTCTAAGAAAACAAATTATTTTCATCAATTAAAACAATAATTTATTAAATAATTGTATAATTAATTACCAATATTTTCTGACTTTTTAAATTTAAAAACCGTTTTGTTTAAAAATATATATAAAAATTTTTTAATTATTTATTAAAAAATAGATAAAAAATTAGTACATTTTTTTAATTAGTTAAAAAATCTTGAATTTCCAACTTTTTTTAATGTTTCCCCCAGTCTTATTGAAAACTCTTCATTTGTTTCTTGTTTTGTATTTCTTTTGTTTTATTTGTTATTTTTTTACAAATTAAAATAACTAACAATTAGATAACATAACGGTTTTTGTGTTTTGTTTTTCATATACAATTAAAACTAGATTGTAAAAATAATAAGAGGTCTTAAGCAATGTGTTTAGCTTGTACTGCTCTAAAACAGAATCCTTGCCTGACAACATTACAACAAATAAGAGAATATAAAAAAATCTATTAGGGAAACACGCACATATTCATTCGAACTACTTCAATTAAACATTGATTTCAATTTAGAGAAGAAACCGGAATCTTTCTTTTCATTATCATCTAATTTGTCATTTGATGATGAGGTGGTGGTGTTTGAAGATGGTTTCTCTGTTTTTGTTCCACTGGATTTTTCTTGTTCAGCTGATTGTTGTTGTTGTGATGTTGACGAGCTGCTACTCGAATCCGAAGATCTATAAAATTTTAAAATGTTTGTAAGAAGGAACCATTATATAAGGATTTTTGTTTGAATTATACTTTACGTTGCTTTCTTGCTGCCATCCGTTCGTTTCGTAATACCATGCACCGATCCCGGTGTATTCGTCTCCAATTCAGCATATTTTTGCATTAGTTCTTTTTGTTCTTTGGTTAAATGTTTTGGAATTTCTATTTTAATATTTATGTAATGATCACCATGCCCATGGGCATTGACACGCTTAAGACCCTTTCCTTTAAGGAAGATTTTATGATGTGATGAGGTGCCGGGTTCAATATTCAGCCACTGATCCTCGTAGACACCCTCCACACGTATTGTTCCACCCAAAACCGCCTGGGACAATGAGATAACAGCATCGGTGTGCACATCAGCACCATCACGTCTAAAGTATTTACTCGGTTCGACACGGAACGTAATGAACAATTCCCTCTTGCCCACTTGCATGCGTACGGTTTGTCCATTTTCAATACCAGCGGGTACAGGAACTGTCACCTTTTTTCTTTGCACCGTTTGACCTTTACCTTCACACTCAGCACAGGGATATTTAATGTATTGACGGGTACCTTGACAGTAGCGGCAAGTGGAACGCATAACAAATGGGCCGGTGGAAATAGTTTCCATACCGGTGCCATTACAATATTGGCAACGTCCAGGTTTTGTACCCGGTTCACATTTGCTACCACTACACTTGGGGCAAGTATCAACCACATTGACGTTGATGTCTTTGTTGACACCACGAGCAGCTTGGGCAAATGATAAATCCATTACCACCTCCTGGGAACGTCCAAATCCATATTGAGACTCGGCAAAGTCGTCAAAGGCATTTGAACGGAAGTTGCCATCACCGAAAATTTTGCGGAACAATTCTTCAGGATCAATTGTTGATCTGAATTGCCAGTTCTGTGAAAAACCTTGAGGCCCGTGGCCACCAAAGCCTCCACCCTGGCGGTTCATGTTTTCCGTGGTCTGACCATAGGTATCATATTCACGACGTTTTGTATCATCACTCAAAACTTCATAGGCCTCGGAAACTTCTTGAAACTTACGGCTAGCATCGGGATCTTCTTTATTTGTATCGGGATGGTATTTCTTTGCCAGTTGATAATAGGCCTTTTTAATTTCCTTGGCCGAAGCATTCTTGGCCACTCCCAATGTTTGGTAATAGTCTTTTGCCTTCAAATAATTTGTTGTGTGGAACTTACGTCGCTGCTGACATTCATGACTTCCCTGATAACTCAGTTGATTTCTGTGGATCGGTGTTGTTGTTGCCGTCGTCGAAGCAAATGTAATTGTCGTTAAAAGTTTTGACTGATTTTGGCGAACATTGTTGCCGTTGGCGGTCAGCAAGGATTGTGCGGGTATACCTTTAATTGATACTTTTCGTAATAGATGTAAATTGAGGCGATTACACGTTATCATTTTGGCAACAATAAATTTTCTTTCTCGAAATTGTCCCCCGAAAAGTTTCTCACACAATTATCAGCTGATGAAATGCCGTAACTCGCATGCTGTTCAATGTGACAATTCACAATAGCGGTAGAATGTGTCAAATTGGGTAATGCATTCACAGTAAAGTGATTGTTCTATGAGAAGGGCGTTTTTACACCAACAATCAGGGGCGTTATGTTGGGTAATGGCTTTGAATTAAAGATAAAGGAGAGAAAATGTGTGATTATTATGATGGAAAATTGGATTAAGAATTGAAAATAGTAAATATTTATAAAATATAATATTTTAATAGATTTGTTTGTATAATTTTATTACTTGATATGTAGTTTTTCTGAGAGAAGAATGATACGTTCGTGTGAAAAATTGTTTCCAGTGATTTTTTTGTTATAGAAAAAAGATGGATCCTGTCAGTGATTTTTTTATAAAGAAATAACTGCGTGTTTTTGCAGTTTATTCTATAAAAAAATTGGATTTGTCGTTATGAAAAATTGTTCTATAGAAGCAAATTGGAACTGAGGTATAACATTTTTTTAAATAGAAAATTTGGATAAGTCGTGAAAATTTCGGAAATGTTTTCCTATAGAAAAAATTGGATCTGTGGTTCTGAGAATTTTTCGTTTTTTCATGTTATTTTTTATTTTCCAGGTGACACCGGCCCCCTAGTGTATCCCGCGGCCTTTGTTTACATCTATTCAGCATTATATTTCCTAACATCACATGGAGAAAATATTCGTTTGGCCCAGTATATCTTCTGCATCATCTATTTACTGCAAATGTGGTTGGTTCTACGCCTCTACAGTAAGAGTCGTAAGGTGCCACCTTATGTTTTGGTTATAAGTGCCTTTACCTCCTATCGTATACACTCTATTTATGTGCTAAGACTTTTCAATGATCCCGTGGCCATACTTTTCCTTTATGCTGCCCTCAACTTATTTTTGGATCGTCGCTGGACATGGGGCAGCATTTGTTTCAGTCTTGGTGTTGGCTGTAAAATGAATATCCTGCTGTTTGCACCGGCACTATTGGCATTCTACATTATAAATTTGGGCATGGTAAAAACTGTTATACAATTGGCAGTGTGTGGCGTTTTACAATTGCTGATTGGTTTACCCTTCCTCCTAACCTATCCTTGGTCATATATAAAGGGAAGTTTTGATTTGGGACGTGTTTTCGAACATAAATGGACTGTGAATTATAGATTTCTGCCCAGAGAATTTTTTGAGAATAAATTCTTTCATTTAAGCCTGCTGGGATTGCATTTGTTGCTGATATTTGTCTTTGCCAATCCCACAATAAAATATTTTAAGAATTATGTCCGCCTAAGGGCTTTGCAGGATATGCTGCAACCTCAACTCAATGAACAAAATCGGAAATTGAAAGAAAACAAAGTTACCAAGGCTAAGAATCCGGCTCCTGAAACCAAACCCCTAGTGGAGGATGAAGAAAAACTAACCCCAGATCAAGAGGCTTTCCTATCGAGTTTTGAGAAAAGTCTGCAAAAGGCATCTGGTTTGAAGGCCCCTCCAAAAGTAAAGGAAGAAAAAGCTGAAACGAAACCCAAACCCTCCGACGACAAAGTCTCCATACATTTTGACCAATGTACCCAACTGGCTTTGTTGCCATTCTTTTTGTGTAATTTCATTGGTGTTTTATGTGCCCGTTCCCTGCATTACCAATTCTATGTTTGGTATTTCCACTCGCTGCCCTACTTAGCATGGTCAGCTGAATTTAGTTTGGGTACTCGTTATCTACTCTTGGGACTCATCGAATACTGTTGGAACACCTATCCAAGTACAAACTTTTCGTCGTATGTTTTACATGTTTGTCATTTGATTTTACTGCTCGGTGTGGCCCGTTCCATGTTTAAGACCATCAATCAAAGTGAGACGGTACGTAAACACCAGGAACAACAAAAAGCGAACGCTGCTAATGGTTCAGTAGCAGCAAGTGCCAAGGCAAATGGTCCCAAGAGTAAAAAACATAATTAGAGGTTTTTTTCAAATTTAGTTTTCAAAAGAGAAAAAAGTTAACATTTTGTCATTAAGAAAAATCAAAAACAGAATTGACCAATAAAAGCTTTACGATTTTAGAAAAAATTAAATGCAAATTGTTTTCATTTATAGGTTTAGTCAATCAGAACCATAGGTCAAAATTTGTCTATAGAAAAAAATGCTCAGGACCAAAGGTCCATTTTTTTTGTATAGAAAAAAATTCTGAAGACCAATTGTCCATTTTTTTCTAAAGAAAAAAAATCACAGGACGAAAGGTCGAATTTTTTTCTAAAGAAAAACAAAGGTCTAATTTTTTCCATTGGAAAAAATTCTTAGGTCGAAAGTTTCATTTTTTTCTATGGATCCTTTGATCCAGAGTTTTTTTTTCTATAGGAAAAAATTGGACCTTTGGTCCTTAGAATTTTTTTCTATAGAAAAAAATTGGAACTTTCGACTTTGGAATTTTTTCCAATGGAAAAAATTAGACAAAAATCAGGACCAAAGGCTTAATTTTTTCCATAGAAAAAATTCTCAAGACCACATTCCAATTTTTTTCATAGAAAAATTCTCAGGAGCAAAGGTCCAATTTTTTCCATAGAAAAAAATTCTCAGGACTAAAGATCCAATTTTTTCCATAAAAAAAATTCTCTGGACAAAAGCTTTAATTTTTTTTTTTCTATAGAAAAAGTTCTGTGTCACATGTCCTATTTTTTTCTATAGACAAAAGTTCTCAGGGTCACATGTCCAATTATTTTCTATAGAAAAAAATTCCCAGGACCAAAGATCGAATTTTTTTCCATAGAAAAAATTCTCAGGACCAAAGACTCAATTTTTTTTCATAGAAAAATTCCAATTTTTCCAATTTTTTTCATAGAAAAATTCTGAGTACCAATGGTCCCATTTTTTCCATAGAAAACAATTCTCAGGACCAAAGGTCCCATTTTTTCTATAGAAAAAAATTCTCGATACCAAAGGTCCCATTTTTTTCTATAGCAAAAAATTCTCAGGACCAAAAGTCCCATTTTTTCTATAAAAAATTCTCAGGCCCAAGTTCCTATTTTTTGTATAGAAAAAATTTTCAGGACCAAAAGTCCCATTTTTTTATAGAAAAAAAATGTCAGGACCAAAGGTCCCATTTTTTTCTATACAAAAAAATTCTCAGTACCGAAGGTCCCATTTTTTCTTGTGTGGGACCCTGGTGGTTTAAGAAAATTCATTTCATTTTGTTTGTTGTTTTTATATTTTATTTTATTGTTAATAGCCTTTTTTGGGGGAGTAGGTAGGAGCTTTCACATGCAGCTGTTCATTTGTAAATACTAAATATTTGTACATCAAAATGATTGTTCATTTATTGCTAAATATGTTTATATCTAAAAAAACTAGTCAAGCTGTATAAAATGCATAAAATAGCTTCTTTAGATAATTAATTTGTTTGCGAGTATTTTGTTTTAAGATTAGTTTGTCTAAAAGTCAATCCAATTTGTAGCCTATTCCATGGACTTGATTTAATCCAAAACAACCATATATTTATTTTCTTTCTAGTTTTTTTTTTTATAAATACATTTATAAGTCTTTATTGTGTTTTGTGTTAGAAGCAGAATTTTTTCACAGAGAATAGAGGCAGTGCGCTTTTAGCTTTCAAAATTTCCAAAAATTGGTTGCCAATTTTTTCGAAATAGAAAACTATGTTGATAGTCGCCCTCCTTTACTGCTTATGCAGTTGGGAGGGATTATATTTATATGAATATAAAAAATCACTTATTTTGAGATAGCTTAAAACTAATTCATTTACAAACTAAATAATTTAAAAACTAAAAACAATAAACGCCCATATATAAGAAATAAAAAAATGAAAGAAAATTTATCACCTCTCATACGGCTGACAGGCCTCCAACTTTTTGTTTAAACTTGTTATTATAACAAACAAGTGTTTAGAAATCGGTGGTAAATTGGAAACCCCTCTACCGTAATCGAGATTCGAGAAAAAGAACTAAGGCGAAACAACATTTGTTAATAAAACAAAATAATAGCAATGGAAAAAAATAGAAAAAAACTACTACTAGATGTAAAAAGAAAAAAAAAATAATTTAAGCAAAGTGAAAAAACTTGAATATAGGAAAGTTGTGTGTAGTTGAGCAAATTCAAGTACTCAGTCATCATTCAGTGCATGTTGTGGCAGCTGTGGCAGGTAATGCAGTCGTTGGGTTATTTGTTGTATTAGAGATAAGGGCACTTGACGCAGGATTGGTATTTGCTGGCTGTATTGTGGCGGATGGTATTGGCGATAATGGTCTCATTTCTCCAACATCTGCCGAGGAAACAGAACTACTAGATACTGCTGAAGTTGATGAATTCCTTGCATCTTGATTGTTAGCTGCTGATGCTGCTGGCGATGCATTTTGCGCGGATTGAATACTGAAAAATCGTAATAACGTCGTCTCACTATTTCTTCTACTTGACGTAGGCGTTCTGGGTTGTGAGTGGGGTGAGGATGGAGACGACATATGATGATTGTGATTTTGTGATAGCCTACGTCGAGGTGTGGTAGATTTGGGACTACTTTCGGATTGTCTTAAACTTTGCAGGCGGGGTGAAGCAACAGCAGCCACTGGACCACCACCGCCACCTCCACCCGCACCAGCTGTAGATTCATTCACCTGACCTGTGTTCATGGAATCCTGCATTTTCTCCGACAGTGTTGTACCACGACATGAGGACAACAACTTTTGTTTACGCATCTTCGTCAGCCAATCAACTTTTTCTTTGATTTTACGTTTCGGTGACATAATACCCAAATGTGGTGCTTCGCCATCCAGCACATAATTTGGTAAATTAGAGGTGGGCGAATATATCATAGATGAAACGGAGGAGGATGATTGTCCCGCATTTGCCTGTTGACTTGTCGACGGTGGTGAGGTGTAGGAAGCAGCATTGAGATTCGTATCTAGCACCGGCTTCCGTTCGGCCAAAGGTGATGGAGTTGTCTGATTTAAGGGGAATATTTTCGATATACCAATACTGGACGGTGGGGTATTTAAAACAGCCGATTGTTGTGTATTCTCTTGATTTGAATCATTGTTTGTAACATCATTGGCTATTTGAGGGCTACAAATACTCGAATTTCCTTCCTCAGGTATTGAAGTCAGCTGCTTTTGTAAGCAACGTGCCGCCAAACCCATGGAGGTACTTGCAATCACAGAACTTGAGGTGGACGGACATGGACTGAAAAGTCGACGACCTCTGGTTTCCAAAGTTTTTTGCCGTTTATTTTCCTGCAAACCATCCTCGCCATCAACGGCATCTGGATTATTTGCAGCAGCACCTAACATTTCAAGGAAACTACGTTTGGTGGCCACCTTTTCCACTGTGTTTGGTGTGCGTTCATTTTGTTCCACCAGCCGCTTCAAGGATCTTGGTGTTGACTCCAATTCTCTTAAGTTATACTTGTGGGTGGACGCCGAATGATTTGTGGGCTTGGTAAATTTCATAACATATTCCGCATGGCCTCGATAATTCTCCTGTTTATCGGATTCGGAAATTTCTTCGGGTCCAATACGCCATATCTTGTGACGGGCATCATCACTACATGTCACAATGGGGCAATCATGTGTTGAACCCCAGGCTACACATGTTACTTCCACTGTGTGGCCCGACAAACCCACCAATGGTTCATCGGGGTAATCTAAATTCCATACATATGCCTTTTCATCAGAACTGCCACTTAGCAGATACCGGCCATCAGGGCTAAGGCAAGATTTAATATAAAAGGTACTATTTAAAAGGCCGCGATAACGAGCCAAAGGCTTTGGTGAATACGAATGGAGGTTGTAACAGTAAATGGTGTTATCCATACAGTTGGCGAAAAGGCGGCATCCCGGTTCATCGACTATCAAATTTGTAAAGCCCTTAAAGGTGGAGGTGCCCGCATATGGCAGACTATATTTGGGATGAGGTTCCTTTTTATAGGTGCTATAGTTACGTCTCAGGTCCCAGACTTTAATGATGCCATCACCAGCTCCGCAAGAGATCAATGTGTTTTCATCCTAAAAATCAAAAACAAAAATGAAAATCTTGTTCAAATATAAAAAAATATAATTGGCCACAAATCAGAATACACATTCATAAATCATATTAAGCACATGCAAATGCATGCCTGTCATATGCACCAGCATAAAATTCTACGGTAGGGGGCCAATTATGTGTGGAAGAAACAAACTATTTTTATACTCACTTGAAATGCTAATCCTGTAATACTACTTGACGTTGTGTTTGGTGGCATTTTTGGTGTACGCGAACGTTTACGCTGCGATACCGGTGTCCCGGGTCCACCAACATGCCCACTGTAAATGCAGTTGTCCGCTCTTGGTGTCATATCCACATTTAGATTTGCCCTAGTATCCCATATTATGATTGCACCATCTCGACCGCCTGTTGCAAATACTGATGAATCATTTTTACGGAATGCTGCCGTTTTCACCGATCTGGTGTGGCCCACAAATGGCCGTATGCCAACAATCTCACTATTTGTAACTTCCCAGAGGCGGGCGGTGTGATCTCCCGATGCAGATATGAAACGCATTTGTCCCGGAGCCCATTCCAAATCGAATACAGCATTGTAATGGCATTGTGGTGCTGTCAGTGACTTCTCTTCAGCTTCATAATTCCGCTGGGTGGTGTCTTGCAAGGCGATTTTTCCATCCTCGTTGGCAATGGCCAACATATGACGATAGCCATCACAATTGGCAAATTTAGCAGCAAATATTGGTGGTTCAGGATTAAAATCCGAGCTATAATTCGATGGTTGTATGCCACGCCAGCTATCCTCTTTGGCCACACATAAACGCTTCAGCGCAAAATCATAGCTCAGGTCATTGGCTATAAAGAACGCAAAAGAACACAATTAAAAACATAATGAAAAATGCACTACCAGCATATTTTTCCAACATCAACAAAATAATTAGCACTGCTTCACTTGGTCCACAATTTTTACATTTTTTCACAATTATTTATTTTTTTGGCCTTTTAATCTGTCCATCATCACCACTTTTTTTCTTGGCGCACAAAATTTCCCGCCTTGTTTACTAGAAAGTGGGGAGTTTTGGAGCCAAAATAAATATTAAACCGCCAAAATATACTTTTGTTGTTGTTATTCTAGTCACCACAAACCCCCCACCATCATTCCCATGAACCAACACAACACCAATACTACAACAACATTGTTTTATTTCACTTGCACCAATTAAATTTTTATTTTTCTTTTCCACACCACTCACCTTCTCCCTGCTGTCTCTTAAAATATCTTTGTACATAATTCATTGTTTTGTTTATTTTGTTATTATTTTTTATATAAAATAATTATTAATTATTACTAATTTGTTTGTTGGTTTTTCTACACAGCAACGAAATTGGTATTCATGTTCACTGATCAATATGAAACTTTTGAATGAAGAAAAACACATACGTTTGACAGATGCTGGCGTAGTAGAGAAAAAAGACCGCGCTGTCAAAAGACGTCGATAAAAAATGATATCGTCTCACACAATGCATTGATAACACATCATGCTATTCACGGGAAAAATGATAACACGTGAAGTGCCACCATACGGACGCCGTTGTAAGAAGAAATACTGGCATCACCTAAGATAATGTATTAACTTGGCAGCACTGGCCATGAAGCGCTATTTGATGGCGTTCTGCCGATACGGCTACTGGTTCACTCACTTTCCTTTAAACAATTTCTATCCTCTTTCTAAACAATACGAACATATCGGAGTTTATGCATACGGCTTCATTCGTAAACAAAGCAAGTTAACGGTCAGAGTTATTTATTACCCATTTTCTCCTTGCTCCACTCTTTGTTCTTGCCAAGTGGAACGTTTTTAAATTAGGTCGGTTTATTCAGTAAAAGGTGAAAGGCGCGTAGAAGAGGCTTGCTGTCACAAATTAAATAATTAATTTAAAAATAATTGGAAAATTGTAAGAAATCTTCGGCTAAAATGACTATTGAGGATGATATGGAGGCATTTCGTGTCTGGGCTACGAAACTTGGCTGCCCACCCGAAGCAATGCCCAGCGAAGATGCCTTAAAATCGTAAGTATTGGATTGATCACGAGTGAGATCATTGTGTTGTGCAAAGTAATGTCTGCTAAAATTGATCCAGATTAAGCAAGAAATATTTTGTTGTGTCATATTCGGACAAAGATGTTTAGGTTCATAACAATTAATTTAAACGTTTCAATTTAATATGTAATTGAACATGGAAGCTTCAATCCTGTCCTGTTGTGTACTCCGTAGTTGGAGTAGCCCCACCCAATGATATCCCATTCGTTTCTGTTATAACACAAGGTGACAATGGAGGATGATATGGATTTGTTTCATGTTTGGGTTATCGAATTTGGTTGACCGTCCTTAGAAAGTTCCAGCGGAGATGAATGTTGCACCTCCGTGTATTTCTCCTAGTGCTAATCTGTTCTCCGTTCGATTTAATGGCAAAAATTGTTCTTCCTTCGTAATTCTCTTGTGTAGCCTTTGTTGGCATTCTCCCATCTAAATACCAATACCAGGTTACCTACACATAATTTTTATTTAAAAGAAGATTATATTGTGTAGCAACGAACTACCGTCAGCAATAATCGGAACCGCTTAAATATTTCGGAAGGCATTTACCATTTGGAAACAATGGAATGAAAACCAATGGAACTTTGGAATTATCGACCTCCGCAAAGGCAAGATGTTAAAAATGATCTGCGATCGGGCCTCAAGCTCAGAATTTTCCTTTTTTTATAAAGTACTATTTTTTTTTTGTTTTTTTCTTTGCAGAGTTTTCAAATCTCGCCAACGTGATGTTTTCTGCAATCTGATGCGACGTGTACGACCTCGCCAAGATGTCAAGGACATTAAGGAAAATATATTGATACATAAAGTCGAGAAAATTAGGGGCCAGGTTTTGTCGGTAAGTCAGAAAAACATATTGAAAAAATCTAAATACAAATATGAAATTTTTATCTCTTCTATAGGTCTGTGAAAGATCCTTTTTACCCCATGAATTGCAAATGCATCTCAAGATACAGGATAAACGTAAAAAACTCAAAGATTTGGAGCAACGTCTGGATGAAAGGAAAAAAGAATTTGAAGCGCAGGCAGCTTCAATTAAAACAAAAAGTAATGCTTCAAATTTTCAAATCAATTATGAATAAATTTAGTAACTTTATTTATTATTTAGATATACAAATTGCAAATATGGAAAATAAATGCGATCTACTGGAAGCCAGAGTGCATCTTTTGGATTTCAAATCCAAGGCACTGGATAAAAACATCAAACGCGAGGAAGATAATCGAGAGAAAATAAAAGCCACCATGCCGGTGGTATTGACCCATGAAAATAAAAGTGAACAAAAGGCAAATGAAGCTGTGCTCAAAGCCCTAAAGGAACTAGAAGATTTCTACACGTTCTGTGAACAAAATAATAATTGTGAGTAATATGGAATAGCTAAAAGTAATTTTAATATTAATATATTTTTCACAGATCAAATCCTACAGGATGCCAAAACCCAATTGTGGGCTAAAATGCGTCAAATCTTTGCCAATATACCCAATTTCTTGATATTCAATACCATTAATCGCTTGAAGGAGGAACAATTACATAACATTATGTCATTGAATAAAACGATAAATAATGATTCACATTTAACGGGCAATAGTCGTGATCCTTTAACAAATTTCGAAATTAATTTTATGAAGGCAAAATCAAGTTTTTTAGGCATCGTTGGCAGATATCTAACAGCATGCCAGGAACGGAAAAATTTAGAAATGGAATTCCCCAAAACCTATGAAGATTTTGAAGATAAACTATTGGAGAAAGTGAAAATATTCAGTACCGATTTAGATAGTGAACATAGTGAAGAAATTATGCGTAACTATGTGGTTGAATATAATTTCCTGAATTTCACCAAAGGTGAAAATGAATATCTAACACAGCAAATTGATTTGCTAAAAGCGGAATTGGAAACTGCCCAGAAATATTTGGAAAATCATGAGGTAAGTCAATAAAAATAAATTTAAAAAAAACTTAATTTTATTTCTTCTATCTTTTCAGGTCCTTTTGGGATCCATCAAACAAGTCTATGGTGAAATCAGTGCCTCCGTGAATAAACTGCAATACGATATGATGCAATTGTCACAAATCAAAGATAAAATAATCTATTCGAAAAATATTATGAAACATCAACTGGACGATTTGGAAGCAATGATGGCCAACAACAACACCATGATAAAATCAAATTTCAAACCGACAAAATTAAAAATTACCCACAACAACAATATGTCCTTGGTGGGAGCTGACAGTTTTGAGATGAGCAATGACAATGTTTTCTGCAGTACAAAATTGGATTTTGATTCGACCATCAGTTCTTTGAACAACACCACATTACGGCGTAGTTTTGGTGGTGGCGGTAGTGGTGATATAACTTTGATGTCGCCTCAGGCACAAAATACTGTTTTGCCATCTCACTCCTTGGAACTGGCGACATTTTGTGAAACACCATTGGAGCATATTTCTTGTCTGCGCAAGGAAAGGTGAGCATTTCAAGATTATTTGTATTCACAACAACATGGCATTATTTTTCATTTGTGTTTGTTTTTATCCCGTTTGCAGTTTATTTTATTTGGCACCCAATCCATTGATAACCGAAACAAGTGAACTGTCATCAACGGTTCAATTGGCTCCGGGCGTTTTACTTACACCATTTGGTGCTTTACAGGAAGTACGAAATCGTATTTTGTGGGCGGACTTGATTGCACAACATTCAAATGATTTGAAATTGAATTTGGACACATTTTTTGGTATGTTGCGGAACACGCACACACACACTTGTCAACATTCCCTTTATTATAACTCCTACTTATAAATGCATTCATTCATAAAACCAATCATTTCTTTTCGACATCTACTTTCCAGTTGACCCGCAACAATACAAACAGAAGGCCAAACAACAGCATGACCGCATTATTGAAGTTCTAGATAAAATCGATGTCTGTTCGGTAAATACCCTTCACAGTTTACAGAAATTGGCTAAATTTTATGACTTCCTAATTGAGAATCCTTTGCGGCACTTCATACCCCCCACAAAAACCTTCAACAATCAAACGTATGCAGATTACGAAGGCGAACTAACCATGTATATTCGTATTGCCACCACTGGCAATTCGATCAAATGAAAAGAAAAAAATGGCACTTTTCGAAATGGTGATGATGATGATGGTGGATGATAATTCAATTCTCGATATCAAGCTAATTATTATAGAATGAAATTATGGACTCAAGTAATAACAACAATAATTTAAGTGACATAAGTGGCACTTTTTACAAAATTTTGGTTTCATTTGCTGCGTACAGGAGAGATAAAAAGACATTGTAGCTCAAAATATTTCTCTTTATTTTTTTTCGTTTTTTGCTTTTTTTGTATTTGTTGTGATATAAATGTATCTCTATGAACGTTTATAAATTTAAATAAATTAAATAAAAATAAATAAAATGTGAAATTATAATGAACGATTTGTGTTATTTGCAAGGAATTTAATAATAGATTTAAAAATCTGCGCCTCATATTAGGTATTGAGAAAATGTTTCATTAAAAATCAAGCTTTACAGGCACTTGAACAAAATAAAAAAATCCATACTCGATTGAAATTTAAATAAAAACATTGGACAAATAATTCCAAATCTTTTGGTAATTGGAAAAATAATTTTAAAAAAATCCCCACTTGATTAGTACTCGAAAAAACATAATCGGTGTTACGCGCCATAGGTTACCCAAAAACATGTTCCTTCAAGCTCTATTGTTAATACTCGAAAAAAAAAAACATAAAAATATACGCTCATTAACAGTTGAAAAAATATTCCTTAAATAATCTTTGGTCTGTTGAATCTTGGATAAATATCCTTAAAAAATCACCGCCATATCGGCACACCAAAAAATTCCTTTAAGAAAACCACCCGTGGTAATTTGTTTTTTTAGTAAATTTTGAAAAATGCCAACTTAAAATCATTTTCCTAGTTATTTTTAATACACACAAAATCTACATTATTTCCCCTATACAATAGCAGAAGTTACATTCAAATATCTCGATTCATTAACAGTTGAAAAAATAGTCTTTATATAATCTTTGCTCTGTTGAAACTTGGATAAATATCCTTAAAAAATCTCCACCGTATCGGCAGACAAAAATTTCTTTTACGAAAACCAGCAATAGTATTTTTTACAAATTTTAAAATATACCATGTTAACATATATTTTTCATTTAATTTATAGATACACACAAAAACTACATTATTTCCCCTATCCAATAGTGAAAGTTTCATTCAAATATCTCCATTCATTGCCGAGTTATGGCCATTTGAAATTGACCGTGTGTCAAAATATAGCTGCTACACGATTCTGTTGGCCTGGTACGGCAAATGTGAAAACTGATGAAATTGCAATTCCACAAAAACAGAAAAATGCAGGTTATGTTGCCAGATTGCTTGCTTTGTGTTTCCATGTTAGTTTGCGAAAAAAGTGAGCATACTTTTAGGCGTTACACAAATTAGACACAGGGTCAATTTCAAATGGCCATATCTCGGCAATTAATGGAGATATCTGAATGAAACTTTCATTATTGGATAGAGGGAGAGTTGTAGATTTTATGGGGAGAGATTTAGTCTTTAATCCATTTAAATAATAACACACATTTTTATGTTTTTTTTTTTAATTTTATTAATATATTTTTTTCTGTTTCGTATAAATTTGAGGCGAATACATATATAATATACTTTTGTTTGTTTTTTTTTTGCCTATATGTATTAAAATATTTAAAAAAAGAGTTCTTAGTAATATTTACACCCAGGATTTTTAATGGAAAATTATTATTTTTTATCTGTTTGTTTTTCTTCTGTATGGGTTGTTTCTAGCAAAAGGGTTTTACACAAACTTAAGACTTAGTATTTATAATATATTTTTTATTTTAATATATAAAAAACTACACATATACAAATAGTTGTAATTTATTTGTTTTTTTTTTCTTTGTTAAATGTTTACTTTAAAAAATTTAATATTTTTTTAAAGTGCTACCCTTAAGAAGAACAATATAAACTTATTAAAACTGTTTGATGTAGATTATTTATTTTATTTTTTTTATAAAAAGAAATTAAACATACTTAAAGGCTAGATATTTGTTTTGTTTTTTTATTTTTTGGAAATACAAATTAAAAAAGATAATGAATGAAATATAATTTATACTTTACATTTCTATATAAAAAACAAATAGTATGTAAATATGAAATTATTTTCGGTGTGTGTCATGCATATAAAGGAGGAAAATATTTTATAAATTTATTAAATAAATATAAAATATTTTCCAGTAAAAAATAATTTTGTTTGTGATGTTTCTTTTTTAGGTGATGGAAGATTATTTTTTTTTTTCAATTATAATAATAATATTGGTTTGTGAGAGATTCTTTGTAAAAATTTAAGAATCGTCGTAACTGTCCTCTTTTTTTATTATTATTTTTATTTTTAATTTGTTCTTGGTTTTTAACTTGTTTTTTTTTTTGTATACATAATAAAAAAACGGACGGGTTAAGGGTTAATCATCATCAATTGATTTCATTTTCATTTCTTTAAATACTATTACAATTTTTTATTTTGTTGCTTATTAACTTAATACAAAAAGAAAAATTGAAATGGATGGACGTAGAATAATTTAAAACCTTGCAAATACATTAATGGGAAAAGGTCTTCTATGTTGTTTATACTTTTTTTGGAATGTTTTCGTTAAAAATAATTTTCGTTCGCCATGGAGGGGTTCGACATTACCCTCTATTTTAATCCCTTTATATAGATACTTGATATATATAATTTGTTTTTATATAATTGGCGGCGTTACACACTCTTCAATCACTGGTGTTTCTCAAGGTCTCCCCCCAAAAAGCCATCCATTTATCTGGTAAACAAAAACGCCAACACAACACCCAATGTGGCCAATGAGGTGGCAGCAACACGTTCAGCATCCCCGTAATAGGCCTGACCACAAGCTGGTGGACACACGGGTATAACAGTTTCGAAAAGATTTACACGAGCCTCAGCTTGGCCCAATTTGTTGACAGCTTTGCAAACATAATCACCATATTGACGTTTTTCAATGGTGATGACACGCAATGTGGAATCGGTATATTCATCGGCAGTGGCGAAGTGAGAAATGCTATAATGTTGATTGTTGGACAATTGAATGTCATCCTTAAGCCAGACAATAGCTGGTGGTGGATAAGCTTCAATGTGACATTCCAAATCCATATCGTATTGTAGAGCTTGACCCAAACGGGGACGGGGTACTGTGATGACGGGAGCAAATTCAACTTCCAAATTAATGTTACGACGATCACCAACACTGACACCGTTATCGGCAACGCAATAATAGGTACCACGATCTTCCTTTTTGACAGATTTGATTTTCAAAACATTGCCGACATAGGTTGCACTATCTGTAATTATAAGAATAAGAGAAAAAAAATTATTAATAAATATGTAAAAAATGTCAAAATTAATTGAGGATATAAAAAATTGTTCATCATATGTATAATTTAGGAATAAGATATTGTGACAAAATGACCTTTAATTAAACATAACCTCATCAATTGACACTTAACAGCTGATTGAAGGATCAGCTGTTTTTAATAATATATTTGAGGAAATATAAACATTAGAAACAAAAATATCGAAAACATACATGCCAATTTTGTTCATTATTTAATGATTATTTTGACCATTGACAATTAACAGCTGATTGAAAAGAGTGACAAGTAAAAAAATAAATCTACATTTCGAGAAGTAACATCAAATTGTTCAATGATTTGTACCGCATCATATTTTTCTGGCACATTTACAATTAACAGCTGATAGAAGAATCAGCTGTTTTTAAAAATATATCAGAGCATTCAAAAATAATATTGAGAACTCGCGTAATATATTAATTCCAGACTTTTTCTAAACATAATCTTGATAATTAACAGCTGATTGAGAAGAGTGACCAGTAAAATTATCAAATAAATAAACATTTCGACAAGTAATATAAATTTGTTCAATGATGTGTACCACACTTTAATTTGCTGGCATAATCTTATAACTTTACAATTAATAGCTGATTGAGAAGAGCGCCACCTAGTATTTTCAATTAAAAATGCAAATGTGAAAAAAAATAATTTAAGCATCTGGTTGAAAAAAGAGCGACCAGAATAGACCTAAAAAACAGATTTTATAAAATGTGCTATTAATTTAATAGTACGTTTACATTTTACCAGATTTAGTTAACCCAGTAGGCATAAATTGTCAATACCATTGTATATATTTCAAACAAATCCTCATAAAGTAGGTTAACCCGATAAAAAGTTCTAATGTAAATGCCGTTTAAGGATCTATTAAAATTGACAAACATTGATTGAGAATAGAGTAACCAGAAATTCTTAAAAGTTATCAAACATTTTAAAAAATACTTTTAATTTGTTCTATAATTTGTAGCCTAGCATAGTTCAATGGTCAATCGTATATTCCAAACAAAGTATGGTCATTTAGCTTTATTATTAATACTAAATTCGAGTGTGGCAGTACTCGAATTTAGTATTAATAATAAAGCTAAATGACCATACTTTGTTTGGAAGATACGATTGACCATTGAACTATGCTAGGCTACAAATTATAGAACAAATTAAAAGTATTTTTTAAAATGTTTGATAACTTTTAAGAATTTCTGGTTACTCTATTCTCAATCAATGTTTGTCAATTTTAATAGATCCTTAAACGGCATTTACGGCATAAAAAGAGAAATTTTGACAATACCTATTACTTTCTTCAATAATATGTACCATACTATATTATTTCACGTGCAAATCATATGTTAAATTTAAAGTGTGGCCATGTAGCTTTAATATGAATATAATGGTATGATATGTTTATAATGATGCTTATTCTACATTTACATCGAACGTATATCATAGAAATCATTCATTTTTTGACATTTATAAAATTAAAATTACAATTTATCATAAAACATGTTTGATGTAAATGTAGCATTATTGTAGGACCAGAATATGTCAAGCAATATATTTTTTATTTAATTTGTATAATACGAGTATAAAAAAGCTTCTCAGAAATCAGCTGATTTGTATGATCAGGTGTTTTCTTAAAAAGCTCCTTTGCATTTATGTCAAGCTATTTAAATTTTATTTTTATGATGGAGTTTACATTCACAATTTAAAATACGAGTATAAAAAAGTTGGCAGAAATCAGCTGATTTGTATGATCAGGTGTTTTCTAACAATCTTCTTGACATCTGTCTACTTTTTCTCTAATCCCTTGGAGAGTCTGTAAAATCTACTTCCTTCTTTAGTCTTTTCCTCAGTTTCTTAAATTCTTCAGCAATTTTCAGTACTAAATTTAAAACATGTCAAAATTTCATTTCAAATTTTCATGTAACAGCGGGATGTCAGTGGTGTGTTTTATTAACACAAAATAAAAGTCATTCACATTTTATGGTTAAAATGTGTGTGGTTGATTTCAAGTACACAAACAACAACAGGACATCAAATTAAATTGTTCGAAAGCCAACAAATCAATATCAGACAAAATAAACGGGTGTTTTAGATTTAATTAAATGACGTTACGGTAATGAAAATCTATTCTATGGATGGATGGATTGTGGTTAACAACAACAAAAATGTTTACATGTGGTTTGTGTTTGTGTGGTATAGGGGTAAATTGTGCAACAATTTGACAATTGTAACATAAAATCAATTTATTATTTGATGATCTTTTTTTCTCTGTGTGGAAAATGTGAAGCACTTTTGGTTGGTTAACAAAACCACCCCATATCTCTCCTCCCCAGTAGCTATTGAGGGAATAGTTTCATTGCAATGTAACAAAAAAAAAAAAAATTAATTGTGAAAACAATAAACGTTAATGACCTTTTAGTTCGCATTGCATCTTCAGGGAAATCATTATCATTTGAAGTACCAGTCACATTTCCCTCTCTAGTTCTGTCATCATAAAAATGCAGCCACAAGAAAAATGTTGAAAGGTCTCACAGAGGATACCTTGGCCGATATAGCTGCATCAGCAAACGTATTTAAAATGATGCTGCAGCAATTTATCTAATGGTCTGGGGAGTTGCCTACACATTAATTTGCCAATTTGCTCTTCGTTACTATTGCTACCGTGGCTAGGATTAGCCATTATTAAGTCGACCACAAATTGTTGAAAATGAGGGTTAATATAAACGCACTTAGTAATGACAGACAAAAGTCAAAATGTTTTGGCACCTGTCAAAAATATTTAAACTAAATCGTTTCGATTTCAAATCGAGAAGCTAATGAAAGCTAAAAATGTATACAATACTAGAAACAGGATACAAAATCAAACTGTTTTGATTGCTATGTAAACAAATATCAGCTGATTGACACATGCTCCCTGTTAAATTGTATGTACAGTACTTTATTTTGATGATTTTTTTCATCCCCCCCTTCCTTCTTTAATTTTATAACATGGAAGTGAAGTTCTTCCTATTTTTTTATAAAAAAAAGAAAGTTTAAAGTCAAAAGCCGAGACGAGAAAAAAATTCTGACAATGATGGCATCTTTCATTCACAACTATGAAGCTCTGCCTATGGATATATGTATCCATGTGTGTTGTTGCTGTTGTTGGTTGTGATGCGTATGCATGAAAATGCATTTTACTCCTACGGGCAATTTTTTTGGTGTGTTCAAGAGTTTAAATATGCCTCGTTGCGTCGCTTGCACTTAACCATAACCTCTAAGTAGCGGCAGCAGTGAGTGGTAGTGGCAACTTAACTTTGGCAACCACCCAAGAAAGTACACTTGAAATGAGGTTATATTCATTACGGACGTATGAACCTACCATCATGGTTGGCTCTCGAAAGAAGAATAACACAAAATGAACAAACATTGTTTTAGCGGGGCAACTGTCGTCGTCGTTGTCGCCGCCGTCGTCATCATCATCATCATAGACATTGACTGCTTGTGGGCAATGATATTTTATGCATGCACATACATTCATTCATCATCATCATGTGTATGTATGTTGATGTGTACATGCGAAACAAAAAAAAAAACAACAACGAAAAAAAGTAGGAAAGAAACTAACCATTATAAAGATGATGAGAGTTCATGTACCCACGTTGATTAAGAAGAAGAAGAATACCCCTTTTCTTTACTCTTTTTGGAAAACAACAAAAAGGGAAGCCGGAAGTTGATAAAATAAAACAAAGGTAACCTAGGGTTGCCAGCATGTGATAATTATTGTCATATGTAACATGAATAACAATAACAACATTGCATGACTCCTCTCGGCTCAGCAGCAGCATTGAAATTTGATGAGTAACTGTGTGTGAGAGAGAGAAAGAAACCATGTCGTTATGTTGTCATTAAACAATTGAAGCCAGAGATGATGCCGTTTGCAAAATCAAAACAAAACAAAAAAGCGGTCTATGAGCGCATATGTGTGTGCGTGTGTGTAAAAAACAGTTTCACAGCATACTGTAATTAATATTAACACCATAAAGGATCCTGGTGGCTGTGTGTGCTGCTCGACGCCTATCATTAGGAAAAAACATCCTCTTTTGGAAATTCCCTCTTCAGAATTTGAAGTGCGGCTGCTGCTGCTACTGTATAATTTAACCCGTCAAACATCCCCCCTTCCCTTCCTATTGTTCGTTTACAATAATACCATGTTTGCTTATATTGATCCTATGCAATTAGTTTATTGTTTTTTGTTTGTTTCTGTGTTATAGGTAAAACGAGTTCAAACATGCATGCATGTTGTTGCACACTCACAACCCCTCCTGCCAGCTTGCCGTCACATATATAGAAAAGGAGTTCAATAACTTTTTGCATTGCTGCAAACTATTTTCTAATATTTATGGATTTGTGTGCCATGTGTTCATTTCCCCAAACAACAGCAACAACAAGAACACCAACAAAATGGCAAGGGATCAATTTGCGTTAATGATTTGTATACGTTTGCGGATATGTTATGCTGCAAATGCGGGTGTTTATAGAACATTAACACGTAACATGCGTTTTCATTTCACCGAGGAGGGTTTAATTGTAGTTATAGGTTAGCTTAGGTATTTATTTAATAAGTGGTTTTATTTTATTGTATTATAAGGCGGGCCAAAAGGAGGGTGGGTGGTGCTATTCATGGCAAAGCTGTTTTAATTTCTATTAAGGATATTGATAGCATATGTAGCATTTAGTTAAGGGTCTGGTGTATACTTAACTTACATTATATGCAATAAAGTGAAACATTTGCGGTTTGTTTGTTATATTTTTGCGGTGGATACTAAGAGACAAAATGGAACTGGTTTATGTTTAATGGTTATGTCATAAAATTAGATTAAGAAAATCCCTGGAAATTGTTAGATTTCTTAAAGCAAATATGCTGTCAGTTGTTTTTTGTTTATGTGTGAGATATA